AAGAGTAGAGCATGAACTATCTGGGCTCCAACGTAAATTTGGAGCAGGGAAAAATCTTTGTAAAAATACTGTCCAGTGTTTGGATTGTGTTTGCTTCTGTTTCTCTTTCTGTGGGATTGGGGGTTCAACTTGTTACTACTTGTTAAAGATGTATTACTAACAAGTTATTAATTCAATAAAAGTAAATCTTCTTGAAGATTATTCTCAAAAATGCCCATATTTTGTTGCTTTGATTAGTGTCCACTCTGGCTGATATCTTTTCCACATTTAATCTGTCAGCTTGCATTATGCTTCTTTCATTCATTGAGAAGTGAGTAGAAGTGAAAGTGTTTATTTTAGTCAAGTGTTTGGTATTATTTCATTCTTGCTTTTATATTGTTTTTATTTTGGATTTTAAACCACATTTCCAGATTCATTTCATTGTTACTTCCTGCAACTTCATTGGTGTCAAAGGTCACGTGACATCCCTTCCTGATGTGATACCACTTCCTGTGAGGTCTTTGAATATGCCTCGCCGGCCGACTGGGTGATACAAAGTTCATGATCCGGCCCCACATTCAAAAAGGTTGGACACCCCTGCTATATAGAAAATCATCAAACAATTTCAACCTATACTAGAATAAGACCCAACTCTTAAAGAGATCTTTCCAGAACCACCTATCCTAGCCTTTCAACAAGCACCGAATCTCACCAACCTCATCACCAGAAGCAAAATTCCTATGGCCCAAAGCATGCTGAATGGATCCAGATCATGCTGGGACAAAAAATGTAAAACCTGCCAACACATCTCCACCACCCCCACAATAACTACACCCAACAACAGAACCATCAGCATTCCTGGATAACACACCTGTACCTCCAGAAATGTAATATATCTAATCCAGTGTACTAAATGTCCTGATGGAAAATATGAAGTAGAAACCAAACAACAACTGTGTACCAGAATGAACGCACACTGGAAATCTATCAAAGACAAAAATACCTATTTACCTGTGGGTGCAGACTTCTCATAAGACAACCACTGTTTCTCCAATCTCTCAGTTCTAATCCTCAAAGGGAATTTACAAAACACCTTTTGTAGACAAGCCTATGGACTTCACTTCATAAATCTACTGGATACAAAAAACATCACAGACTAAATATAGACATTGGATTTTATTTTTTTTTAAAGGAAAACTTTTCGTGTTCCAAGTCAAATCAGCCCAATCAATTCCAAATTCTTGAGTCATTCAAAAACAATATGTGGCCCTGCAAACATCCTCCATACCTACCTGGGACTTCAGATGCTTCCAAATCCTTTGGCAAGCATCCTACATGCAGGCCCAAGCTTGGAGGCTTGGGGTTCAGATGCTTCTGAGTTTCGCTTGCCCTCAGCCGTATGGCTGCAGGAGCAAGCTAGGGAGGAGTCTTCCATTTTCATAAAGTTGACATATAACCAACATCTTCCCACTGAAAATGAAAGTGGGAGGTTAACTGTGCATTACCTCGGTCATGGTACTACCCCTTGCCAAGAAAGTGATCTTACCTTGCAACTAGGAAAACCACCTTAGTGGTCATGATATTTCCCCTGATTTGTGGCACATTATAACCCCCCTGCCATCTGATAACTCCAGGTAACCCGTCTGTGTTTTACCAGCTATATTCCATCAGCTTCTCCTTCCCCAACTACCTATCTCACACCTATTGTCCCCTGTTCCCTTTGAACCTTGCTGCCACGCATTTGTATTTTCACAGGCCTGCATTTTGCATATTGGCTTCTAGTCAACCCAGCACACACAACACCTGCAGACTCTCCCTATGCCTGAAGAAAGGCATTTTGTGCCCCAAAGCTTGCAAAGAACAATTTTTCCAACTAGTTAGATGGTCGCATAAAAGATATCACATCTATGCAAAGAACCTTGTCTGCCTAATACAACTTAGAAAGTTTTCTGTGAAGTCGCACAATGTTTAATACAATCTAAATTTAGATGATGGTACTACACCGGAATCTTGTACCAGCTCTGCTGATTTGCAGTCTCAGTGCCTGAGATCACACTGGAGCCAGTACAAGGTTCCAGTACCATGCGGGAATTGTGAGTGAGACCAGCACCTACCCCGGTGCCACATGGGAGCTTCTTCAAGGTGCTAGGAGCAACACCAGCACAGCACTGGAGCCTGTTCCAGCCTTTGCACTGCATGCAGCTTTGACCTGGCTTTTGCGCAGTGCAGGGGCACAAAACTTCCTTTTTCTGTCTAAACTTCCTTGGATGCTTTCTTTAAGAAAGCAGACAAGACTCCAGAAAAACCTGCAGCCAAGACTTCTGAGAAGAATCCAACCAAGAGCCCTTCAAAAAGTCCAAGCAAGAGACTTTCAAAAAGTCCAGCAAAGTCGCCTCAAAGAAGTCCTTCCAAATCAGTGTGATTGCTATTTACAATATAAATACATTAATGTAGCTATATTACTCATCTGTAATTGATCGAGTACAAAATTCTGGGGTATTTTTGGTGAAAATAGGGTCTTGGTTGAGGAACCAATCCCCCATATGTAACATTGTTTCTTATGAGAAAATTGGTTCCGAGTTCTAACGTTTCGACTTAGGACCCAGTTTTCAGGAACCAATTGCGTTGTAAGTCCGAGGACCAATTATTTATCCTTAAAGGATGGAAATGAATAAATAGTAGCTTAATGAAGGGTTGCTAGAGAAAGGGAATATGAAGTTGCAGTCTTCGTGAACCCTGACACTTAACGATGGTATGCTTGACAGAGAGAGAAATATTCATTCCTATCCTTTCTGGGCATATCAGACCTAAAACACAGAAAAAGTGTTATATTTTTGCCATGTGAAATAACCTGTGTGGCTCTTTGTTTCCAGGCTTGCATGATACAGAATTTGTGTGGAGGCTGACAGTACTTCTCATGGGTGAGATTATGGGTGGATCTACAGAATGACAGAATTACTGGTCAATTGGATGCAATACAGTTAATCTGTGTGGGGAAGGAAGAGGAGGCTGGGAGGTTCTTATCTGTAGGCATGGCCCTTCTGTATGGGGACCTTTTGTAAGAGGATAGCTTCTTAGCATTGCTTAAGCAGGCAAAGTGTTTTATTTGTGTGATAAGAATTCTACATATGGTAAAGGAAGACAGGTGCTAGTATAGGTGTATTTTATTGTACAGTCACCTTTCATCAGAAACCCAAGCCTTTTTGCAACTAGTTATTTTATGCATTACGATACCTAACCAAATTGCCATAATAATATGCTGCTAAGAAACCCTGACTATGCAGCAATTAAAAAACAAATTTAACTAATTTACTTTTAAGAGTACAGGTTCTAAAGCAACTTAAACCAATTTGTGTGTTTAAGGAGAAAGTGTCTAGAACAGCATTAAAAGAATACGTTCAAGCCTATGCAGACAGAAAAGTTGGGTGTACACAAGTTGGCTGTGTTCTTGCTGGCCTGGCTTATTTGCAACTAAGTCTAAAGCATGTTTAAACTTGATTTTTATGCTCATTTGTGAGTCCTATGGGAGCCCTATGATGATATTTTTCAAATGGTGGTTTGTTTTTTGAATTCTTCCCAAACATCAGTTTCATAGCGCAATGAGAAGTGGATCAGTAATTTTTTGTTGTTGTTGTGAAGATATTTGATACTAGCCTTTACTTTCTCTCATAACTGGTCTAGCAAGGGCTGTAGCAGTGAAAGCTTTTTTCAGTACTGATTTACCAATGGTCCTTAACCATCAGCCCCAAACCTTCATGTAATTTGGGTTTTCACTTTTCTTCACTGCCTTGATCTCTCTGCTGAGACTTTCACCAAATGGTACCTGATAGTTTCTCTTATAATGGTGATTTTGTGATTTGGATAGTTGTCGGCTGGGAACTGCACTTAAACCAACTGCTCATTTCATACAGACTACTAAACAATGATAATATGAAAATTCCTTTTAGGCATACCAAGTTGGGACGTATTTTAATTGACTACTGGAACTACTTAATCTTCATAGTTTGCTATCAGTTTCTTAACCTCCAGTCCTCCCCAATTTCACATTTGCAACTTTAGACCTACCAAGCAACTTAGGCTCCTTTACTTACAGAAAATAAATCTTTGCCTGTGTGCACAGGTAATCCTTCTTTGTCTTCCTGCCTTGTGTGTGTGACTTACAAATTAAGTACAGGTTTCATCTGAATGGCTAAGTTTATTTGAAGTGTGTTTTGCAAGTGGATTCTCATGTGAATAAATGTGAAAACAGCCAAGTTAAAGGCGAAGAAAAAAATACTCAAGTTAGTCCCAAATCAACCCAAACCACACAATAGCTCACAGGCAATTTTGTACACACTAGTTCTTTTTGTTCCTAACATGGAAAACTCACATTTTCTGAATCCAAGTCCAGGGTACAAGAATCACTTTGATATTACCTTAAGTGTGTGAGCTTTAGATGCCACTCCTCTTCTCTTCACCTCGGGAATGCTGCATTAGTTCCAGCCTGGAGTGTTTTCAGACCACTGAAACTACACACTTGACCCAGCTTTTGAAATGAATCATAGGGCCAAATATGGGTAAAAGAATATTTTCGCTCATTACCAACAGGTAGACAGTTCTGAAAACTCTGCTGTACGCAGTGGTCAGAGAATGCTGAAAGTTATGGCTGAGGTGTGTTTCAGCTATAGAGTTTGTCTTAAATTCAAATTTGTCCTGTGATAGTGTCTTTTAATAATAAAATGTAAGTGCAGAGAAAGGTTGGGAAGACTTAAACTCCTTGTGGTATAGGCAGGATTGAGAGACTTAAGACTTTAAATACCAAGATAATGAAAATTTGCATATTGTCCCTCAGCACACATTTTATTGTAAGTGTAATCGTAGGAGGGTTTGAATTATGTGAGCTATTCTGTAAAGTTTAGTTTTACAGTATGGATCCGTCTCTGAGGGACAGAGTGAATATTTCATCTGTCCTATGGTTTGTCACTTGGCAAAACTAGAATATTGATTCTTGGCTTAATTGAGCATTCTTTTATCCTCTATAGGGGAGGGCTAGCAGAAAGACTGAATCGACTGCAGAACAGAGAGAGGTCTGCCATTACCTTTTGGAGACATGAGTGTGTTTCAGATTATAAAAACCCTTCAGGTAAGAACCATATATGTAGGCTTGTTTTTATGAAAACACATATTTTATTACTGTCAACACTGTTTATTAACAATATATGTAGCAACTACTACCATGTATATAGTAACTATTTACAGGCATATAACATGAAAGGCATGAAAGATTATATTCTCTATACAAGTGACTGAAACTGGTCTACTTATGGACTGTGGTGCAAGTGGTTCATCTATGGACTGTGGAAGTTCTTGCACCTCTTGTCTGGCTAATTAGATCTATATACTGCATCTATCACTGAAGTGTTTCAGAGCAAATGGTAAAGAATTTGTCTTAAATGGTCATCTGAACATAGTCTCACAATCTTAAATGAATTTTATCCTCTCAAATCTCCATGGGATGTAGGAAATTCAAGAGGCAATTCTACTTGCTGGTTGTTGGCCAATATAGTAAAGGTTACCAATAGATGGGTTTTTTTAGCGAAGTTTAAATTAACCTTTCTCAAGTCAGACCCTACTTTGAGTCGAGCATGATTGCTTTAGGTTCACCTTGTCAGTATATGCCAGCAAATCTTTTTGAGGACAGAACTTGGCTGCAAAGACTAAAGCAATGGGAACTGCAGACAAAATGGGGAGGAGAAATAATCAGAGGGGCAGTAGCACTACTGGATAAATTGATAGGTTATATGCAGATGCATTGTATTGATATCAGAGGGTATTGATGTAAGCTGCTAAAATACAGCTATTAAATCTACACCAGGGGCCGGCAACCTTTAATAAACTGCAGGCCAGAACAACCCAGCTCTGCTTTGACAGACACGGGGGCTCTGCCTGCACCCACACTGAGGCCAGGAAGCTTGGATCTGCTTCCCCCACAGTTCCCCAGCTGGGGCACAGGTCCATCTTCCAGCCATTGGGGAGCTACATAGGGCCAGGCACCTGTAAACTGCATCCTTGTTGACACTGCCTTCCTTTGACCCTCCCCACCAGTGCTCATTTCCCCACTGGCTAGAAGCCGTGTTTTTACCACAGCCAGGGAGCGGGGAACTGGGGGAAGTGGCAGCAGTGAGGGTGCAGCTTCCAGCCACCTGGCCCTACTGCAGGTCCTTGATGCCTAGACCTGGCATGGGCACAGGTACTGGAAAACCCTCTGGCTCCACAGGCCAGATCCAGTGGTTCCACGAACCAAATATGGCCCAGGGACCTTATGTTGCTGAGCCCTGATGTACATGGTCCTGTAGAGATACAAGCATGGTAAAACTACTCCAGCTTTAACCCTGCTTCACTCAGGGTCAAAGTGAAGGGGATTTAGCTAACTTGCATGCCTGCAGCAGGGATGGGCAATTATTTGGGCACATGAGCCACGTAGGCAGTTTTGGAGAGCTGTTGCGGGCCAGTCACCACCCCACTCCCTGCTGCAACAGCTCACCAAACCCAGAGTCCATGCGCCCTGTGGCTCCTCACCACTGCTGCTACCAACTCCCAGCAGCAGCTGAGCACATGGCCCCAATGTGCCTCAGCCAGAGCAGACCATCTCCAGACTAGCCGAGACCCATGTGCACAGCCCCAACCCTGGCCCTGGCCTACCCCGCACCTGCTCTGGACCAGCCCACCCATAATAGGCAGTGGTGGCGGCCAGACAGAAGCTGCTGCTGGGCTCAAGGGAAAAGCAGACACCTCCCCCTCACTGCTGCAGGGCCCTTCTTGCTGCGGCTGTCCAGAGCCCGCGCCCAGTTTGCCCTGCAGTTCCTTTCCACTGCCACCGCTAACCCGCTAGGTGACCCAGAGGCAGTGCTGGTGGCAGTGGTCATGGCAGTGGAAAAGAGCCACAGGGCAGCCCAGCCATGAGCTCTGGGCAGCTGCAGCAAGAGGGTCCTGGAGGCAGTGAGAGGGAGGTGGCCACTTTTCCCCTGCTCCCAGTAGCAGCTTCTGCCCAGCTGCCGCTGCTCATCGTGGGCATGTGGTTCTGGAGTGGGTGTGGGATGGGCCAGGCCCAGACTGGGGCTGTGTGCATGGGTTCCTGCCAATCTCCATGTGGCTGGGGAGGAGCCACCACCACCTGGGCTGCTTAGAAATGGAGTCCAGCTGCAGAGCCACCCCAGCCCTGCTGCACACCCAGTGGTGCCTGGGCTGGGCAGGACTGAGGGACCTGCTGTGGGCTGGACTTAGTCCCTCCACGGGCCAGATCCAACCCACAGGTCGTATTTTACCCACCACTGGTCTACAGAATCATATAGATTTAACAGTTGCAATATAACTGATGCATACCCCTGAGCAGCAGCTTCCAACCCCTCCCCACCACTCTTTTAAAAGCAGCTAAAACATATATTGGTCCATACCCACCTGAAGGAAATCTTTTATCTTGACTCCTGTATATTTCATTTTAAGTTACATCCATGACTTGTGTAGTGAACCAACAACTGTTTTTTGACTATGACTTAACTTGTGTTTACTCTCTGGAAAGGCATTCAGGCTTGGTTTGAAGGCCCTTGGTAGGCCCTTCTAGTGAGGGGCTGGCAACCTATGGCCCATGGGCTCTATCTGGCCCATGGCAGTTCATGGAATTGGTAGCATCCTCCAGCTGTGGCAGGAGAGGAGGTGCTGTCTGGGTCCTCTTGCCTGTCGTGTTCAGTTTATTCTCCCTGTTGTTGCAGAGGCAGCATCCCCAAGGTCTTAGCACTTGCCTTTTTCTCTCTATTCCTTTTGCAGGATCTGCTGATCATGAGAGAGGTGTGGGGTGTGACCCATGGAGGGGGTGTGCATGGTTGCAAGCTGTGGTCCTCAATGGCAAAAGGTTGTCAACCCCTGTTTAGGGGCTATAAGAACTCTTGTTAAAATGTTGTGTCTTAGTTCTAATTTGAATTTGTCTGGCTTTGGTCTCCAAGAATTGCTGCTTCTTATACCTTGCTCCACTGGATTGAACTCCCTAATACATTAGCTGGAATAGTAAAACCCAGCTACTTCACAGTGTTATGTTCCTTAGTCCCTACAAAGATGAGGGTTTTTTTGTTTGGTTTTTTTTTTTAATAACTGGAGGCGTACAAACCTGCAGAAAACAGGTGTGAGGCTGCAGAAGAGCTCCAGTTTTTTGCTATGACTTTTATTTCAAAGGGTGTCTGTCTTTCAGTTAGCTGGCTGGGCCAATGGATGAGATTCAGATGAGTGGAGAAATGGCACACCTTGAAGTGTAACTGCAATGAACAGCTGAGTGGGTTGTCCTTAATTTAGCAGTCTACTGCAGATTAAGCAGGTTGCAAAGGTCTAGGATACAAATTGTCCAGTTCTATGGGATTTTCTGCCTTTGAAGATACTTATACATCTGTAATTTGCATCCCTTATTTTTCTTTTTGATAAGCTAAACCAGTTGAGATCTCTAAGGCTTTTTCTCCAGCCTGCACTAATCTTTGTCATTCTTTTCTGCACCATCTTCAATTTTTCAACATCATTTTTCAAATGTGGACACCAGAAATATATGCAGTTTTCCAGTTCGGTGCACACTGGTTAGTACCTTATATAGAGAGAAAATCATTTTTCTCCTTGCTTGTGTATACCTCAAAGGTCTGCATAAACCTTTTATTGCTAGTGCCCAGCTGGAAGCCAGCACTGAGTTGTTTGTTCACTATGATCCTTAAATATTTTTGTAGTGACTGCTTACCAAGATGCAACCCCTTGTTCTTTAGGCTAGGCCTGCATTTTGTGTTGCTAGATATCAGCAAATGCATAGTGTCATAGTGAAGCACATTTTGTTTCAGAAGATCAGCTTACCACTCTGTATGTCTGTCTTTTTCTACTAACTATTTATTGTTCTGCCAGTCCTTATTCTCTGCAATCTTTCCAGATCTTTAATGAAAGTGTTGAAAGGTTAGTTTTTATTTTAATCATTCAGTAATGATTTTTCAGTGACAGTAAGTTTTTGAGATCTGTCAATCAGTCAGTTCTTATTTTATGTAATGTTTGCTAATTTTCTATTGGCATGCCAGGCAGTAACTATAGAAATTAGCATGTTAGTTCAACAGAGTCATCTTTAATAGCTAAATATTATCAAAGAATGAATCAGGCTTTTTTTTGGCAAAAGCTGTTCTTACTGATTTTCATAGATTTCATAGACATTAGGGCTGGAAGGGACCTCGGAAGATCATCGAGTCCAGTCCCCTGCCCAAAGGGCAGGAAGTCAGCTGGGGTCATAGGATCCCAGCAAGATAAGCATCCAGTTTCATCTTGAAGGTGTTCAATGAAGGCGCTTGAACCACCTCTGGTGGCAGGCTGTTCCAGACCTTGGGGGCTCGGACAGTAAAGAAATTCTTCCTTATGTCCAGCCTGAAACGATCTTGAAGTAGTTTGTGACCATTCGACCTCGTCATCCCTTGGGGCGCTCTGGTGAACAAACGTTCCCCCAGATACTGATGGTCACCCCTGATAAACTTATAGTTGGCCATCAGATCACCCCTGAGCCTGCGCTTTTTCAGGCTAAACAGCCCCAGGGCTCTCAGCCTATCATCATAGGGTCTGCTTCCCTGACCTCTGATCATGCGCGTGGCTCTTCTCTGGACTCTCTCAAGCTTCTCCACATCCTTTTTGAATTGTGGAGCCCAAAACTGGACACAGTACTCCAGCTGTGGCCTCACTAAGGCCGAGTACAGGGGGAGAATGACGTCCCGGGATTTGCTTGAGAAGCATCTATAGATGCAAGCCAGCGTTTTGGTTGCTTTACTAGCTGCCGCATCGCATTGCAGGCTCATGTTCATCTGGTGGTCAATGATGACCCCTAAGTCTCTTTCTTGCATAGTGCTAGCCAACATAGCACTGCCGAGCCTATAAGGATGCTGCAGGTTTTTTTTCCCAAGGTGGAGAACCTTGCATTTATCGGCGTTGAACACCATCAGATTCTCATCCGCCCACTTGCTGAGCCTGTCCAGGTCAGCCTGGATCACCCGCCTGTCTTCTGGTGTGGATGCTTTGCCCCAAAGTTTGGTGTCATCGGCGAACTTGGCCAGTCTGCTTCTGACTCCAGTGTCCACATCATTAATG